TTTTGACAAAGGGCGGGGGAAGACTCAAAACAGGCAACCTGAGGGACATTCAGAACTGAGTCAATAACTTTAAACAACACATGAGGCTTATGACAGTTTGACTGAATGATATTAGAGAAATAATTTCTCTTAAGATTTTTCACAGTTTTTTGATAATCATGCCAAGAGTCTTTAAGTATCTGAAGTGACACTTGTAGTTTGGGCTATGGGGGTGTTTTTCAGCTGCAGGGACAGGACGACTGGTTGCAATCGAGGGAAGGGTGAATGGGGCCAGGTACAGGGATATCCTGGACGAAAACCTTCTCCAGAGTGCTCAGGACCTCAGACTGGGCCGAAGGTTCACCTTCCAACAAGACATTGACCCTAAGCACACAGCTAAAATAACGAAGGAGTGGCTTCACAACAACTCCGTGACTGTTCTTGAATGGCCCAGCCAGAGCCCTGACTTAAACCCCATTGAGCATCTCTGGAGAGACCTGAAAATTGCTGTCCACCAACGTTTACCATCCAACCTTACAGAACTGGAGAGGATCTGCAAGGAGGAATGGCAGAGGATCCCCAAATGCAGGTGTGAAAAACTTGTTGCATCATTCCCAAAAAGACTCATGGCTGTATTAGCTCAAAAGGGTGCTTCTACTAAATACTGAGCAAAGGGTCTGAATACTTATGACCATGTGATATTTCAGTTTTTCTTTTTTAATAAATCTGCAAAAATGTCAAACATTCTGTGTTTTTCTGTCAATATGGGGTGCTGTGTGTACATTAATGAGGAAAAAAAAAAGAACTTAAATGATTTTAGCATATGGCTGCAATATAACAAAGAGTGAAACATTTAAGGGGGTCTGAATACTTTCTGTACCCACTGTATGTTTTCCCTCTGTCTAACCCGGAAACTGTACTCGGGTTGTTGCCCCGCCTTCCTATCAATGTTACTTAGCAACCACTCTTCCTCTTCTCAATTACCATTATTAATACATTCCTCCTTTTTTTCTCATAATTTTACGTTTTGTTTCCCCTATTTTAGACTACTATTACATTGTCCCAAGTCCAACTTTACACTGACCTGCAGGTATAGAGGGTGCTTTCCCCCCTCTCTCTCGCTCTACAGTATTTCTTCAGGCTGACATCTGTCTTTGTCTCTCCCCATCTGTCTCAGTCAGTCCTACTAAAGAGATAAAGGTGACGGTCGGAGTTCGTCGCAGCAGCATGAGCAGCAGCTGTGGCAGCAGCGGTTATTACAGCACCAGTCCAACGCTCAGCAGCAGTCCACCTGTCCTCTGCAACCCCAAATCCGGTACGACGGCGTAGATACCCGCACACATAGAATCTAGTCTGTAAAGGGCATCGCAGTGCAGCTTGTAACAAGAAGTGATAGAGCTCTAAGTAGTGAATTCATTTGTTTCCAGGTGATTTGATCAATTTGTGGTTTTGAATGAGTTCATTTTAGTTTACAATGTAGAAAAATAAACAGTAGACGATGGCAACTTGTCCATGTTAAGCCATCTGCTCTGAATATGAAGAAGTAGAGGGGAACTAACGGCTGTTTTCTGTACATATTGACAGATTAATGCCTTGTGATGTTAATGCATTGATTATACCTTAAATGTTTTGATTAGGACACAAATGTCTGATTTGACTTTATATTATGTTTCATATGTTACAAGTATATAACATTACAGCCAACAGTTACACCAGATTTCATTCCTGTCATTTGGACATGGGCTGATTTAACTTATGAATGAAGATCTGACTGAAAAGGGGACATGGTTGATCTGTGTGTGTGTGTGTTATCTGCTCTGTGTCTTTCCCACTGTGAGTCCTTGAGTTTCTTTGTACCTGCAGAGCCTCCTCAACATAAGCACTCACAAACACCCTTCACGAGGAACAGGAAACAGAAGGCACACACAAGGGCACAGTTGGGGTACTTTCCCTCTGCGTAGTAATTATGTGCATGCCAGGAAGATACAGTAAGGAGTCCAGGAATATAAAACATTCCCATTTGACAATGCGTTTCCCAGTGAATGGGGAGCTTTGTATTTGCTCTGCTGTTATAAAACCTGACAGATATTTAAAAAAACAAGATGCTGACTTCTAATAACATGGCATTCCCCTGCAGATCTGATCCGATCAGGTTTGACTGAGATATTATGAACATGTCCAGTTCAAGAGGGTACAAGGTTTTCTCATATCACTTCTTCTTTCTTATCAGATTAACATGAACAAATGCACAGAAGTAAATATGCATACCCATTTTTATTGTAGATTTAAAGAGTGCATACACTTGGTTCTGGTTTGTTCATCTCTGTCATTGCTCAATCGTTGTGAAACTGAAACTATAACAAGTTCAGTTTTGCCTAATATTTGTGGTGAAATCACTGCACACAACGCTTACATTGTTCCTGTGTTTCATAGCACCTTCAATATGATTCAATAATTTACCACACATGAACTTGGGAACTACTGTATAAGCAACAGTGCTATCTCACTCATCAAACCTCAGAAAGGTAATTAGTAATGATTTAGTTGACAGTGTCTAACTGTAATGGGTTAATAATGAACACAATGTAAATAGAGAGATTCATAGCTTTTGTCTCCTTTGCTCCCTCATCCAGCATATTGAATTACCAGGTAACAATGGAGGAATAAAATAATTTAAAACAAAAACAGACGGAATGCCAAGATTAAAATATGTTTGCTGTTATGTTTGTAAATGGAGTCTTTTAAATGTTGCAGCTTGGAGACAGGAAGATACAATAAAGGTGGATAACAACCTAAAAAATTAAAATATCTGAGATTCCTTCTCTTACCTAACTTTTCTTTGCCATTTCATATGATGCGACTCCCTGAAAACCACATAACCTTGATCTGAAGTATACAGCATGTAATGGGGCTAGGTGCATTTGTCATACAGCTGTCATGTAGTGTTAGTAATAGTTAAGGGAAAGGGAGTTCTGTTTCAGGCCTCAAAGTTTTTATACAATAATCAGTTTTATGTATGTTACATACAAGGAATTTGTTTCCAGTACCATCAACCATTCCACTACAGGCAACCATCTGCAGCACCATCATCGGGGGGCAACTTGGGGGTTCAGCATCATGCCCAAGGACACTTTGACTGCAGGCACCAAGATTTGAACCTCTACCAACTGAACCACAGTCGCCCCATAAAGTAGTTCCCATACCGGGAGTCGAACCCAGGCCGCCTGGGTGAAAGCCAGGAATCCTAACCACTAGACCATATGGGATTGATGTTAGCAGTTTCACATACACATACTGAATATACATACTGTACATAAGCAACTATATTATGTCTTTGGCCTTTGTGTTTCAGCGTGTGTGCAGACATGTCTGTGCTGTAACTGTGTGTCGTGCACATGTGTGATTATCATGGCAAGTAAGATTTTGCTTTGCGTGTTTTGCTCAACAGTTCTGAAGAGACAAGTGAATCCAGAGGAGCTGCAGACACCAGGAGCACCGTTTATAAAGAAGACATTCACTGTAAGACATGGAGACACCCACACCCACACACTGAGCTTTAACAAAGGCTACTTTAGCACCGGTACTCGTAGTCACACACTCCTTCTTGCAAACACACACACTTGTAAATACATGATCCAGGGCACTCGAGCCATGTGCATATGTAAGCGGATAATGTATGCGTGTGAACACACCAATTTCACTTTTCACTTTGTCTCAGATTAGTGTTATAGCCTCAGGGTGTCAAACATCTAACACACTTGGCAAAATTTTAAGATACTAGAGAAACAAATGTTGCGTAAACAGTCAGTTGTAGACATGGTAGCACTACATGGAGGCTCCTTGATTTTGGGAACTCTGTGGTGAATAGAATCAAGGTAAAACAAAAAAAGTACACTTGCTATCTACAACTGCAAATCTGTCACAGATGCTAATGTTTGGCTCAAATTAAATACTCAGCATGGGCATTAGAAACAGTTCGATGTCACTTTGTATCAACATATCATGAGTTCCTGTTTGTCCTCAGATTGTAGGCGACGCTGTGGGCTGGGGCTTTGTGGTGCGAGGCAGCAAACCTTGTCACATCCAGGCTGTGGACCCCGGAGGACCCGCAGCTGCTGCTGGCATGAAGGTAAGGTGGGGAAATATGTTGGGACCTGAACACCCTGTGAACCTGTGGGCTTTCTCCATGGGGTAAAGGGATGAACAAAAGAAAAGGGGACTCTGTCTAGCATACATGGACTGATATAGCTTAGAGGTTAGATGGAGGGAGGGAGGGACTTAGAACAGAGGTGCATTATGTAAGATACAGGTGCAATTTACATTGACCTGGGCATAATTAGAGAGGTACAGTATAATGAAGGAGAGATTGTTCTCTTTGGTTGAAGGTGTGGATGAAGAAGACAACAGAGGACACGGAAGCAAAATGCTGACTGAGATGTATGCATAAATATAGTTAATGGAAAAGAAATCTAGGCAAATTAACAAAGCAGAGAGGCAGAGTTTCACAATCTAATCATGAACCATTTAAAAGGTGTACTATTTAATTTAATTATATATATTTGGTTTTATAAATGTGTTGTTTTGGACTTGTCATACACGTGTGATCTTTCAATATTCTGTAGCTTCTAGTTACCTCCTCTTCATAAACACATCCATATGTTACCAACCAACCCGTAATGAAAGTCTACACAACAAAATGACAGGAGGTATTTCAATGTGTGTTCAGTGTGCAGGGTTACTCTATATATAACATGTAATTTGTTGGGGCTGCAAAGCCATTGGAGAAACGTATACTGTGATTTTGTTTCTGCCTTCAGGACTGTCGACTGAAAGGGGAGCCCTTGTTGATTCATTCTGAGATTGAAATGAAAACAGTGTTTGATGCTTCAGGTGGCCTGCTCTGTGCTCAGTTGTTATTTGAACTGTGTTTTAGTATTTTGACTGCTTGTTTTCCTTTTAAATATGTACTGCAAGAGAATTGGTAGATAAGAATGAAAGAGGAATCTGTAGGGAGCAGAGAACAGACTGTAATGATGTTTTCTGTAGCTCCAGCCTGCATGAGGACGACGGTCGGGACAGGAGCAGAGGGAAGCTGTAAAAGCAAAAAAAAAAGTGTTGTGGGAAGGGAAAAGTCGGGACGGAGGTAAACAGGGTAATGGTAGCTTTGCAGCCACAGCCGGCATAAAGGTATGTAAGCAGAGAGGCAGCAAGGAATTCTGGGAATGCTACGCATAGTGAGTTTAACCACAATGTGGAGAGGAAGGAGTGAGACTGAATGAAAGAAGCAACAAGAGCCAGAGAGAGGAGCAGAGGAACGTGAGTTGGAGAAGAACGTTTGGAAGGGAGAACAGGAAGTAAGAACATAATAAACTATAGGTTGACATGAAGAGTGAAGAGTGTGGATGGTGAAGAAGGGGGCAGACTAAGAGGAGCTTAAGTACTGGCACCGAAAGAGGAAACAGTCAGTAAAAATAAAATCACATCTGCTTTGGTTACTGTTAGCAGTCATATTTTATTACCATGAAAACACACATCATGTTTCACAGTCATAAAGGTGTCCCCGCTCATAAAGCGTGTGTGTGTTTACATCTTTGCATCTGCTTGTCATTTTATCAGTGTGTTATTTTTAATGATTAAGAGCTAACTTTTTATGTGCTACAGTCAGTAAAGTTTATAATCATGAGGCAAAGCTGGATTGTTATGTTAAGATGTGTCAAGTCTCCACACAGTTTCATCATTGTAGGTTAAATTCTTAGGCCTCGCCAGTTTATTTGTAAAGAGTTCATTGCACTCCCTGCAAGACTCCAGCTCACCTTAGTTGTTTTATTGTTGTGTAATAAAACAGTAACACAATCTATGCCGTGCTATAAGGTGTTGGCACTGCAGTCCAGGCAAAAGGTTAAAGGAGAAATATACACCCACTGAGCTCAGAGGGGCGGCAGGAGAAAGCATCACCAGGCTCATTTCGGTCCTCATCAAGCACATATGCTCTCCAGCACTGTACTTATTTCCTACCACACACAGACACACATCAGCATCGTCCTGACCATAATGGATCTGAGTACTTGCGTAGCTGTCGAACACACCACTCATAGAGCCACTTCTAATACAGCAGCAGCTGGAGCCCCACTTTGTCCATTTGTGCATCCTGTACCCTGCTGCATGTTCGCACACCATTATGTGTCTACTGAACATTATGTTCTGTTTCATTATTTGTACCACATGGGAAGAAACATCTCTTAATGTAATTTAAAAGCTTTTGAGCTTTAATAATAAATAAACATTCTGTTTAGATCAATCTGGAGCTGCAGCATGATGTAATCTCCAAAGTATTGCAGATACATAGGATATTGTGCTGAAAAAGTGCACGTGACCAGCTGACACATGCAGCTGTGGCCAACATGAGGGGTCAGTTGTGGCTCAGGAGGTAGAGAAGTTGGTGGTTCGATTCCCATTCTCCCTGGTCCACATGCCGAAGTGTCCTTGGGCAAGACGCTGAACCCCAAGTTGCTCACAGTGGCCAGAGCAGCACCTGGCAGGGACAGCACTGCCATCGGTGTGAGTTGGTGCCACACATGGCTGCCTTGGTTCTGTACCAGAGACAAATTGCTTACTTGGCCAATAAAAGTGACTATCATTATCAAAAAAGCTCCAGTCATATGACTCCATATTAAAAAAAAATACTTTGACATTTTCAAAAATGCTCACTCTCTGTGTGTGGCACGTAACTCTTCATAAAATCACAACTTGTATTTTTTACGCTGAGCTATAAACCAGGTTGACATTCTGCAGATTAACCCCCAGTTAATTTTAGAACTGGGTCAAATTTCTGCCAGATTTCCACTCATGTGATATTTAGTTTGAGGGGAACATCATGTCTGATTTATTGCCCAGATGATCATCACTGTTTGTTTCTGCATGATTGATGTCAATACGTCAGTTATAACCCATAGTGAGCTTGTGTTAATATTTTACATTGTGTGGCTACTCTAGTCTTGCTGACGTGGAGCTTGTGCGGTTTGTTGGTGCAGAAAGGCTGCATAAATATGTGTAGTGTTAGTTAACACAGCATTCGAGGTTAAAAGAAACCTATAGTGTCTGCCCAACTGAATGATGCAGGCATTTTATTTTTGTCTTTGGAGAGAGCCATTCTAGCTGTTTCCCTCCTTATGCTAAGCTAGGATAACAGTCTCCTGGCTTTAGCTTCATACAGAGCATGTAGACATGAGAGCACTATTGATCCTATCTCATTGTGAGTGAGTGTTTCTCTGCCTCTATCACCTGACCTGTAAAGAGCAAAAATGGTCTAGATAGTGTCAGCTGGTGTTACTGCAAGCAAGTGGAATATGTGTCACTTATTGTCTCCACATCTTATGACAGTTTCTGTCTCTCTCCTTTCTTTGTGTGAGAGTGGCTTTAACCCTGCTTGGAGCCATTCAGTTCAGCTGGACCACAGCCAAGACCAACAACCCCACAGCCTGTAAGGAGAGAGGAATCAGTGGGAGAGAGAGGGAGGGGGCAGGTGCTGGGACAGAGTTAGAGGCCGGAATAGAGAGAGAAACAAGCAGACGTACTCTGACTTATGCAGAATAGTGTGATATAGTGTAGGCTGCCCAGGTTTAGATGTGATTACAGTGAGAAGCTGAAATTCCTCTACAGCACAGGATTAATGGGGGGTTGGGTTCTCCTTCCCTCTGTCACTCTTAATCTCTTGTTCCACCTAATCCCCCTGCCTGTTATGATCTCCTGAAACATTTAGACTCCTTGGGGGAAAAATTGTGTATTAGCAAAATAGACCAATTAGAAAATAACCAAAAACTGGTAACTTCTGTCTGCATGTACTGTATTAACTGTTCTGTTACATATGTAACAGGAGTTTATGTAAGGAACAGGCAGGGTTTAAATAGCTGCCCCCTGTATGTTTACGGAGTAAACTCACTCACTAGCTCACTAGCTACAACAGCCCACTTTATATTGTATCAGAGTAATTACTTGTGTCTGGTCTTTCTGACATGCATTACACTTTATATTTTAACTCTTGCAGATCTTCTGGGAGCCAGTGGATTGGAAGTGTGCTTGCGTGTATGAGTGCGTGCCTGTAATAGCTTATTGAAAAACCCAACAAACCACACCAAGCGGTGCCTGCATCATGTTGCTAGAGCAAGAGCTGGAAGGCAGCTCTAACAAAATTGTCTCATTTTTATCAGAGTTGGCAGGTTGGAGCAGTGGTTAAATACTGATAGGGGAGGTGGGGTGCAGGCGGGACAGGAGAGTGACTGCGGGTAGATGTCGTGTTTACCCTGGTACAGTTTAGACACAGATACCACTTTGTGTCAGACAGGGCTCTGTTTACTGTTGGAGCTATGACTGCGTTGTAATTTTTTTGTTTTGTGGCTCACTGACACCTCCTCTGTCGGTTATATAATCAAGTGCAGCCATTTAAAAAAGTGACTCAATGATGTATTTTTATATGAAAACTCCACTAAATATTTATTGTCTGAGAATGAAAAGCTAACATCCTGTTGGGAGGGTGAAGGACAGTTAGTCAGCTTGGACTGACAACAGTTACAGTGGATTCTGATGATGCCCCAGAGCCACAGTTTAAAACTGCATCCCCATGCAGCACTGATGTCACGTTCATTACATTCCCCTGACGAATACATTACTTCTTTGTCACGCTGTTGCCTTATCATAACTCAGAAACAAGGCATCACTTGACTTTTAAGAGCCACCTAAAAGGCAGATTCTCTTCTTCTCATGTCTCTCTCTACTCTTTCAATCACCTCCACCACCACCTCTGTTTGACTTCATTTTGACTATGAGCAAATCACCAGGTGTCTCTCCTCTCTCTCTGTCTTTCTCCAGGTGTGTCAGTTTGTAGTGTCTGTGAACGGGCTGAACGTCCTTTCTCACGACTACCGGACCGTCAGCAACCTGATCCTAACTGGACCCAGGACAATCGTCATGGAAGTGATGGAAGAGGTATAACTACGTGAAGAGCTACAAGAGACCTTATTTCATTAGTGCTGTAATTACTTTAGGACTACAAGGTTAACCTCAAAACCACAGCGACAAAGAAACGTGCACAACTTGAAATGCAACTCACACTTCCTACATTGTTTGGATAAGGTGGGTGACTTAGAAACACTTTGTGTGTTTAAGAATGTGGACGCTCGAGTCAGCTAAATGATTCGAATGTTACACAAAACATGCAGGTTGTTCTGCATTTTTCTTTGAATTTAGAAGTGCACTTGTATAAGAGGGAATGTGCAGCCACCACACTTACAGATGGTGATTCAGCTGCTTCTTTGTGCCCATAAAGACTCATCAGTCTTACTGAACATGCCGCTGGCCTTGTGTGAAGTATTAAATTCCCTGCCTTTGTTTGTGTTTTGAGCCCAAACTGTGCCATGAATCCGTTGCTGAACATAGGTGTTTTAAGGTTTTCAAGTTAAAGCTTGAAGTGTAACAGTAAAGAAGAATATTTCATGCAGGCACCTTCAGTGACCTCTGCTCCAGTTGGTTTCCAACCCTGGGCTGGAGCTCGACACTGCCCTCTGCTGGGAAGGACAGGAAGACACAGACCGGGAACATTTTGACTGTAATTGCATTCAAGGTGTTGGATTTTTACGAACTACAGTGTTAAATAGAAACCACTGTGGTATGAAATCCACTGGCCAACTACACTGATGCCCCAGTGTGTGCTAGGATTGTGTTGATGTACATAATAAAAGTGCAGTGCTAAACTGCATGTGACATTAACAAAGTTACAAAAGACTTCATGACCAAACAAACTGAAGAGTTTTTTTAATGTGCAAATTGATCTCGATCAGCATCCTTTAGTTTTTTAAGATGGTGTCTGATAAGCAGACAGAACGTCTACAGTAACTCTAGATGTCATTATTTGTAAGTGTTTAAGAAAAGTGTTGAGATTTCTCAGCTCTGTAAAATTTTTAAAACGAAAGGCTGCATTTATTGCCTAAAAAACAACAACAATGCTATGTGTTAATTACTACTGGCAATACCAAATTTAGTCATAATAGAGATGTTTTAATATAGCTATTGTAACTATATGTTCTTTGATATTAAAGGGTAGAATTCGTGTGTGATCAGTTAAATGTGAATCCCAGGGGAATTAAATTGTTTCAGAGGACTGAGTTTGTATCTGGTTAGGTTTTTTTTTACTGCACATTTTCAAACAATAAATAATTTAATATCAAAGTGT